CCCACGGAAGCAGATCTGCCAGCTGCTCGACCCCATCGGGGGCGAGGGGCAGCTTCTTGATGGGCCTGCCCTCCACCCTCCACCACCACCAGAAGTTGGAGGGGGAAGGGGGTCCTCCTCCTCCTCCTCCTCCTCCTCTTCCTCCTCCTCCTCCTCCTCCTCCTCCTCCTCCTCCTCCTCCTCCTCCTCCCCCTCCTCCTCCTCCTCCTACTCCACCGCCTCCTCCTCCTCGTCCTCCTCCTTCCCCCCTCCAACTTATGGTGGTGGTGGTGGTGGTGGTGGTGGTGGTGGTGGTGGTGGTGGTGGTGGTGGTGGTGGTGGTGGTGGTGGTGGTGGAAAGCAGGCCCATCATTTCTGGAGCGCGCCGCTTGCTCTTCGAAGGGCGGCCCTGGCCAGGCACAGTTGCTCGGCGCCGAGCCCAAGGGGGCAGGTGCGGCGGCGACGATAGTTCGCCCGGGAGCCTCTTCGAAGGCACGGGTCATCGGCGCACCTGCATACATGGTTTGCTCTCCCCTGGGCTACTCGCCCCTGTCGTCGCCTGGGAGAGGCAAGGGGGGGTGGGCCTCTCGGAAGGCGCAGGAGGCCTCCGGCCTCCCGAGAAGAAGCTCTCTCCAGGGCCTCCCCCGAAGACGGCGGCGGCGCCCCAGAAGGCCAAAGGGGGCTTCCGAGAAGCCCCTCCGCCTCGTGAGCAGGCCCGCCTCCTCAGCACACTCCCCCCCCCCCCCCGCGCGCGGCGAGGCGCTGCTCAGGCGCCTTCCGCGAGCGCCCGCACTGCGGCGCGGCGCGCGCGCCCCCGCGGTCAACCATCGACGGGGGCGGGCGGCCGCGGCCACGCCGCCGCCGGCAGTCAGCCCCACGACCTCGGCGCGGGCCGGCCCGGCACTTCGCCCTTTCCGCCTCCCGCCCTGCCGGCCAGCCCCAGACATGCGACGTCCTGATGTTTTCAGGACGGCGTCTTTGGAAAACCTCACCCCTTCCCCGGGACCGTTTCCGTCCTGAGTCGTTCTCGGCGAGGGCCCCCAGAGGCCGAACACGACAAAAAAACCTCCGTCATAATTTTTGCCACGACGCGAGCACGTCTGGGGCGTTCCTCCCCGGTTCCTGCCCTGCCCGCCGAGGAGGAGGAGGAGGAGGAGGAGGAGGAGGAGGAGGAGGAGGAGGAGGAGGAGGAGGGGGGGGAGGAGGGAGGAGGAAGAGGACGAGGAGGAGGGGGAGGAGGAGGAGCAGGAGGAGGAGGAGGCGGAGGCGGAGGAGGCGGAGGAGGAGGAGGAGGCGGAGGAGGCGGCTCCTGCCATGCCTCCCGCCCTCCGCCCCCCGCCCCGCTCCGCCCGTCGGGGCTCCCGCCCCCTCCCCTCCAGGCCGGGCCCCGCGCGGCTCGCTGCAGGGCCGGCCGGCCGGCCTCCCTGCCGGGAGGCCAGGCGAGCGCCGGCGGGCGTTCCTCTCTGCGCCGCCTTCCGCGGGAGGCTCCCGTGCGGCTCCGCATTCCGTGTGTTGGTCGGCGGCTGCGTCGGGAGCGCAGGGCCCCCAAGGGGGGGGGAGGGGGGCGAGGGGCCGCCACGCTTTTGGACGAAAGAATGAAAATATTCCAGAACATCTCCTAGCTTTATTGTTTTTTATTCATTGATTTATACATATATATATATATATATAACAACAAACTTGGACGATATTTTTCAAAAAATGAAAAATAAAAGATGACTTGAAAAAAAAAACGTCCCCAGACTATTTGTTTGACTATGTTTGGCTACTCCTCCTGTGGAGGGAAAGGCCCGACTTATAACGCAAACGTGCATCCAAGGGTCCTCGACGAGGCTCCCCTCGACCTCGGCGCGGTCGGGCCCCAAACGCCCTCGGCACTTCGGCCTCCGCCTCCTGCTGGGTCTTCTTTGTGGGAGGGCCTGGGACACACAAACAGAGAGACGCAAAATAACACGATCCCCCATAGTTTCCCATATCTTCTGGGTTTTTGTCTTCCCCCCCGCTTCCCATAGTTTCCCATCTCTTCTGGGTTTTTGCCTTCCCCCCCACTTCCCATAGGTTCCCCTATCTTCTGGGGAATCGACGACTAGTTGTGTCTGTGTGTGTGTGTTTCTCCCCCTTCCCGATTCTTTGCGGAGGGGGGGCCTGGGACCCGAGCGTGGCAGTCTTCCGGCGCTGGGCGCTCTCGCCCAGGCGTCGGACCAAGGGGCCATCACACGCATCGGTCCGGCTGGCAGACAGACGCAGCAGGCAGGCGAGGGCCAGGGCTCCCGTCGTGATTTTCGCAGCGGCTCTGCATGTTTTCACAACGTCGGGTCTCGAGAATGGAGGAGGACAAGGAGGAGGAGGAGGAGGCGGAGGAGGAGGAGGAGGAGGAGGAGGAGGCTCACAAGACAGCGTGCAACCTCCCGCCAAGCGGTCTGCTCGCCAGCGCGAGGTGCGTAGCAGTCGGACTGGAAGCCACGAGCGCACGCGACTGCACACGCGTGCAACGACCCCGTTGGGCAGAGCCCTCCTGGCC